GTGACCGTGACCCCCGTCATCAGCGCCGCGATCTTCACCTTCCCGGCAGTCGGCCAGAGGGGCACCGCCACGCTCGCGGCTGGCGGCACCATCCTCGTCGGGGACACCTCGCTCGTGGTGGGCGGGCCCGCCGCCACCATCTCCGTCAGCGACGTCGACGACGACGACAGCGACAGCGACAGCGACGACGAAGATGACAACTCATCGGATGACGCCACGGTCGTAGTCAGCGCCGCGACCGGCGGCCTCGTCGTCGACGGCAGCACCACGGTGCCCTTCTCGACGCTGCCCTTCCCCGCGGCGCCCACGACGACGACGGCGCTCGCTGCCGTCCTCAACCTGGCCGGCGCGCCCGTGACCGCCTCGGCCGTCTCGCCCGCCGACCCGGCCGTCGTCGTCGTCGGCGACGGCGACATCACGCTCTCGCTCGGCGGGCCCGCCGTCTGGGTCTCGGGCGTCCAGGTCAGCGTCGGCACCGCCGGCGTCGTGCTCGGCGGCGGCGACACCGGCACCGCGACCGTGACGCTGTCGGCGGGCGGGGACGGGCCCGGCTTGGATCTCTTGACCGAGACGAGGCCGAGTCCGTCTAGGCCGGAGGAGACGGGGTCGTTGAGCACGGGTGCGGTGGGGGATGGGGACGGGGACGAAGGAGACGGCGAGGAGGGCGCTGGGGGTGCTGCGGCTGGTCCGACGGCATCGTCGACGAGTGGTGGGGCCTGGTGGAAGAGGGGGAGGCGGTTGGATGTGGGTTCGTGTATGGTTGGGTTGGCGGGGCTATGGTTGTGGGTGTGATTTGAAATGGAAATTGGCTCAGTATCTTCTTTTTTTCCCTTCAACTTTTGGGTTAGAATGGGATGGTGTTCGGATTGGGCAGATTTGGCTGGTAATGTCCTTTGAAATGTTGGATGATTTAGACGGATTCCACTGTACATAATCGCCTGCATGATTTGCATCTGACACGCTCTCTTGTGGATAATGCTTATACCAGGATCACGGCTGCTTGGAAGGTAGTTAAGTGCGGGCGTTTTCTCTTGGGTACATCACGCAAATCATCCATTGTTACGTTGCGGACATAAACTTGGATACGAATAAGGACGAATTTGTAGTGTTTGGTCTTTGGTACTACAGAAAGCACGAAATTACTAAACAGATGAGTACACCAGCACACCAACTAATAAAGAGCTTGAGGCATATTATGACCATATTACGGTATTTTGTACTATTTAGCTCTTCACATTACTGCTTATTACTGTACGGCTTCTGTTAACCATTAAGTATAATCATCTGATGGGTTTCACGATACAGGGGCCACGACTCGCTAGATTCTTACAAGCTGAGCAATTGTATCCAACGAAGGACGCGTATGTCCATCATTTGAGAGTGGCAGTTCATGCCAGGTGCAGTCTATATGCGAGAGAAATTAAGAACTAGAAGGATATCCCATGCACAGACTATTCCGACTATTCCATTACTCATTCCGTTTGCGCTGTATTCTTGAAGTCCTTTATTTCATTCGCGTATACCCCAATTAATCCGATTGGTTAATGAATATGGCCGAACAGATTTATTCATCCATTCCATTGGGTGATACCGCACCACGTGACCTTTACGACTGTCCCGGTAGAGGTGCTAGAAGATCGATGGTTGCCTACCTGGAACAACAGGTTATCCCATCTCCACTTTAAGCATCCTATTAGGCGATGATCCAACACGTATGTCTATTTGATGCATAAGCTACCAAGCACGATTCATAGTTCAAGTTTAGCCCGAGGGTAAACTGTGATATAGCGTTTCCAAACCGAATAGGTAGATATGTACCCCCACATCGTCCTAACCCGCCGATCCAGACCAAGAAAAGATCTAAATAGCCCTCCTTTAGGCCCCTCCCCCCACCCCACCGCCCTCACCCCTTCAGCGAACTTCCACAGTCCTCTTCTCCTGCTGAATCCCAAACAACTTCAGCATCGCCTCTGGGTCCTTAATCCCCGCGACATTCCCCATCTTAATCCGCTTCAACGTCAGCGCCGCGATGAGCGCGGCGCCCACACCCGACCCGTCCTCCGCGGGCAGAACCTCGACCGGATCGGGCTCCTTAGGCGGGGCGTTGGTCTGCGAGCTGGCGGAGCCGCGGCGGGCGAGGCGGCCGCCTCCGGGGGCCGCGGGCGGGAACACCGGCTCGGGTGGGGGGCCCCAGTCGAGGATCTCGCGCAGGGCCTGGGCGCCGCGGGCCTTGAAATGCGGGTACTTGTTGAAGACGGAGCCGTCGGCGCCGACGTGGCAGGGCTGGAGGTCCTTCTTCTTGCAGATGGCGGCGACGCCGCAGGCCGAGAGGCGGGCGGCGCGCGTGCCGATGAGTTCGGCGAGGCGCCGGATCAGCTCGAGTTCGGGCTTGGACGGGCGCAGGTCCAGCTTGGATGTGAAGAGGTCGTGCGTGTCTTGGAGGTTCTCGAAGGGGTCTCTGCGGTTGGAGGTTAGCGGGACACATAGGGCGCGAGATTCGACATTTCGAATGATGCCGAAGCGCCTTGCGTGGAGGGTTGGACTTACTCCTCGATGGCGGATAGGAACGACGCATCCAGACTGTACGGCTTCTTCAACTTGTTGTAGTCCTGCCCCTCGAAGATGCGCACATCCGGGTTCTCGGCTAAATCCAAGATCACGAGGCGGAAAATCTCGCCCAAGTACAGACCCGCGATCATTTTCTCGAACGACTGCTGCCCGGGACGAGGCGACTCCTCATCGACGACGAGGTCGTACTTGGTGCGCGGCAGAACTAGGTGCTCATTGTCGAAGGCGCCATATTCGCAGTTGATAGCCATGAGCGAGTCCGGGGGGAGCTTCATGTGGGCGAGCTTGGGTATCGAGCCGCAGTTCTCCATGTACGCGGCGTTGCATCCCGTGCCAAAGATGCAACCGATCTTCATCATGTCGTCTGTGTAGTGTGACGCGATCATGGTTCCAGTCGTATCATTGATAAGCGCGGCCAGCTTGATGGGGACACCCTACAAGCACAGACCTGTCAGTTCCACCTGCACATAATACGCTTGTAGCACCGGATTGAGTTAAAAAAAACAGTCCAACATACTCTCTCCGCGAGCGCCGCTTCAAATGGCGGAACTACATCAACTCCTTCGACGCCGTCGATATCGAACCCCTTGGTCCATCGTTGTAATATGCCGTGATCAATGTAATGCTGGGTGACAGGATACGAAAAAGTGAACCCCAGCGGCAGCTTCCCCAAATCCTCTCCCTCATGATGATATTCGATGAACTGCTGGAGGCAGTCGGCGATGTACGCCCAGAGCTCGTCGGCCGTACCCGTCTTGAGCTCTTCGGGCATGCGGTATTTGGACTGGATGATGTCGAACTCGCCTTTCTCTTCGGGAAGCGTGACCTCGCAAATGCGTAGGTTGGTGCCACCCATGTCAAGCGCGAGGAAGGTGCCTGTTTCATAGCCGTCGGGGTATTCCATGACCCACGTTGGAATCATGGGCTGTGCGGTAAGGAGAGGTCAATTGTTAGAAGGAAAAGCAATTAAGGGGCTGGAAGATGCTCGGAATTGATCAATTGACATACAATGTTACCACCTTCGACGGAGAGACCTATCCGGTTGTTAGTACGAGTGACTAGGATGCGGCGGCTGGCTAGCGACATCGACTCAACATACCTTTGTCCAACTCCGATATGAAGTGGTCAGTGATCTCCTTGAGCTTCTCTCCCGAAACAGTGAAGAGGTATTCCAGCTTGTTGATCTGGCCCATAAGACTATGCGGAACATCCGCATAGGACCCTGGCATCTTCTCAATATCGCGAGCGAAAAGATGCAAGGTGTGGGCGAACACTCACCTCTCCGAGAGGGAGCCTTCTTAGGACCCATCCCCACCATATTGGTTGGAACACGGACGTCGGATCGAAGTGGAACGGTAGAGGAGTGTCAAGGCTACCAGGGCGACAAGGGTTTGGTTGGGAGGATCTGAAGATTTTCTAGGTGTTGCAATTGACTGAAAGAGATATCTTATCGAGCTGGGCAGAAAATGGTCAACCAAGGGACGAAGATCCGAACTAAAGCTCCTCACTCGCGGCGCGATAGACGGCAGAGGAGCAATCAGGCGATGGTCACGTACAATGGCGTCTTAGAAAAAGCAGGAAACCGAAGGAAAAGAAAAGACGAAATAAAAACCAATGCCCTGTGGGAAAAAAAAGACTGCGGAAGAGAGGCTAATGGTTTTGAGGCTGCAAGGGATGGGCGTTGCTTTTCGCGTCTCAGCCCAGACGGCCGGGAGGCGCGTGATTGTCGAGATCGGATTTGGCAGCAGCGCTGCAGCAGCAGGACAGGGCAAGGGCGAGTCAACGCCGGCGCGCGCTGACAAAGTTATCGTGTAATTGCTGGAGCCCTGCAGCCGCGCCCCACCTCGCTGGCTTGCTCGGCCAAAAAAGCACTTTCCTCGTCCCGCTGCCGTGGCCAAGGACGAGCTCGGCGGCCCCGTGAGGGATTTACCCAGGTCGGCGAGGGAAGCGGTCGACACAGAGCGCAGTTTCCAGATTCTGCACTGCCTTGTAACCAGGCAGGCGCCATCGAGCAGAAGTTCCCGGAGGCCCGTCGGGACTGTTTATCGTCCGGGGGCTTTTTGTTGAGAGAAGGCCCGAGGGCTGCCCCGCGGCTGCCCCTCGCTCGTCATCCGCGGGGCAATGGCGCGGCGGGGCCATCGTCGCGCCGGCCGGATGGCATGGCAGTCTCGGCGCCGCGCCGTCATCCGTGGCGCGTCCGGGTCGAGTGCCCCCCGAAGGCCCGGCTTCGCCCGTACAGTCCATAGTACGTGCCATCGTGCGTCACCCGGCGCCGGGAACCGATCGACAGGCATGCGTTCGTATGTAGGGTTTGAGTGACGTGATTGGTTTCCAAGTTCTGCAAGCGGGAGAGATGTTGGTGGAGAGCACTTCACAGCGCAAGATTTGTAGTTATAAAACACTTAGTTTAGGAGGTTGCTAACAATTACCTTGGTCGCGTAGCTCAGTTGGTTAGAGCGTGGTACTAATAATGCCAAGGTCGCGAGTTCGACCCTCGTCGTGACCATCAAGCAAGTCATTCTTTTTTGTCCTTTTTCTGCTTTGTCTCGAACGACTGAGAGATTATCTACTTGACCGTATGAACTTGACAAGAACATCACGAAGGCGATGCTTCTCGCAACATAGATTATACGTAATTCCTTTTTGTTTCGCATCTCGATTTTTACAGCACTGAGCAAAGAAACGGCGGCGTTACACGCCGCCCTCTAAGGTATCCGTCTACAATGCAATCCAACTAGTCGTCAAGCTGTGAAGAGTCGTTTTGGCATTTCATCCACGGTCAAGTGAGACTCTCCATCCATCCATCGAGACGCCCCGAGCCAAACACAGGAAAAGACCAAGCGGGGCCGAAGGGTGGGCCCGAATAACCGCGCTACAACACGTGGGCTACACATTTCGCACTCTTGGAAAACAAAAAAAGCAACGCCGATTTATCTAGGCGTCTTCGCCCATGATGCACGCACTCTTAAGCCTGGGCAACCGAGAATGCAAAACTCGTCCACTGGCGCCCATATCCCTTCGCCGTCCATCCGTCCGTTCGATGTTTCCACGCGAGCAAAAAAGGGGGGCCAAGAGAAGAAGTAAGAAGCAAAAAGATGCCGAGGAGCGTAACGTAGTCGACCGCTCTCCCAGTCCAAAGCTCGGAGGCGGCACCAAAATCTACAGTTGCTCAGGCTGGCTAGAGACCCGCTTGCCGCCCTCGTAGCCTTCCCTGTGGCGCTCCTGGTCCTGCACGCCCGGCAGGGAGCTCCGGCCGCGGACGAACTCGCGGCCCGCGCCGCCGACGTTCGCCGCCGGCGTACCGGGCGGCTTCGGGCTGGGGGCCACCATGTCGGCGGAGCCGCCGGCAGCGCCGGCCTCGCGGGAGCGCGATGTCTCAGCCTCGCCCTCGGCGGCGGGGCTGCCGGGCCTGTTGTCCACCAGGGGCCGGCCGGCGGGGGAGTCGGAGCTGCCGAGGACATTGCGGGTCGGGAGCAGGATCTCGCCCGGGCTGGCGGACGTGGCGCGCTCGCCGGAGGCGCTGGACGAAGGCGACAACAGCATGCCGCCCGGGCGTTTGACTTTGAGCTTCTTCTCGGCCTGCTCGGAGATGCGGACGAGTTCGGAGACGAATGAATTGCCCCACCAGGCGCTGCAAAGCGGTACGGTCAGTATCAAGTCCTATGCGTACGGGGCTGATATGCCGCATGCGTAAGCGATTCAAAGAAAAAACAGGTAGAACATGCCTGGTGTACTTGTTGACGTAGCGGCTCAGCTTGAGGTAGTTCGTCTTGCGCTGCTCATCGCTCATTGTCACGGCATCATGGATAGCATCTGCTAGCTCTTCCGTGTTCCAAGGGTTGACAATTATGCTGCCATTGAGTGACTGCGCGGCGCCAGTGAATTCGGAGAGAATCATTACACCGTGGCGATTCTCCTGGCAAGCGATGTACTCGTATGAAACGAGGTTCATGCCGTCGCGCGTTGAAGAGACGAAGCAGACATCGCTCACAGAGTAAAGAGCAATCAACTCGTCAAACGATACAGACTTGTGCATGAAGTGAATTGGCATGAATTCAATGCTGCCTATTGCGGATGAGTTAGAGACCTAGTTAGAAACAAATTCGAAGTATAGAGTACGAAAGCAAAACTCACCAAAGCGGCCGTTAATCCTGCCAACAAGTTCATTGACAACGGCTCTAAGATTCTGATACTCCTCGACATCCTGACGACTCGGTACGGCCACTTGGACCAGCACCACCTTTCCGATCCACTCTGGATGGTCGGTGAGGAAGACCTCTAATGCATGGAGCTTTTGAGGAACGCCCTTGATGTAGTCAAGGCGATCCACTCCGACAATCAACTTCACGCCTTCAAACTTGCGCTCGAGCGCGGCGATACGATCTTGCACCTTCGGCTTCTTTAGGCCCTCTTCGAACTTCTCTGGGTCAATGCCGATTGGGAAGGCGCCAACGGCAATAATTTTCTCTTGGAACTCAACACCGTTTGGGGTGGTAGAAAGACCCCTATACCAAGCAAGGCAAACGTCAGTACCGCAATAAGGCATGCAAGGCATGCACGATATCTGGTGAGCACTCACAAAATTCTTGAGCAGCTGCTGAGGAAATGACGCGCGTAGTCATAGGTGTGAAAGCCAACCAAGTCGCAGTGCAAGACGCCAAGAAGGATCTCATTGCGGACTGGGAGAATGCGGTAGATCTCGGAGCTAGGGAAGGGGGTGTGCAGGAAAAAGCCAAGCTTGACGTTTTTGCGGGTATTGCCAATCGCCTCGCGCAGCATCGCGGGGAGCAACATCAGATGATAGTCATGCACCCACACAAGATCATTATCTTGGACATCCTTGGCAATCGCATTTGCAAATTCTTGGTTCGCTTCGCGGTATGCATCCCACGCCGCTTCGTCAAAAGTGATCTCGCCGGGGTGGTAGTGGAAGAGAGGCCAGAGGATCGAATCTGCAAATAGCCGTAGCCTTCCCGTAAGCTCGTACTGTCCTCTAGCTAGCACAGAAGATATCTTCAAGGCAAAGTAAAAGAGCAAAGTAGAACCATGCGCGTGCCGACTCACTTGAGAATCCGTTGTAATGACGATCGGCCAGCTCGTCATCCAGCATGACTGGGACCGCATTGTACTCCTCCTTCAAGCGGCTCTTGAGAGTTGAAATTTCGTTCTCCGGCACCTCGAGACCAGGCCAGCCATACCACTGGAAAGTAACGCTCTTGGAAAGGCCGGAGAGGCCGCTGACCAAGCCGCCCGACGACATACTAAAGTCGTACTTGCCCTCGTCGGAGCGCTTGATTGTGATGGGCAGGCGGTTCGATACAAGGAGCAGCCGGCCCTCCATCTTGGGAGGTGGCGGCAAGGGGGAAGGCATGGCGGAGTTTGAGTCTACGCGCGCGAATAGGACTGAAGGCTGTGATTCGAAGGAATAAAGGGTCGAGTTTGTTGAGCGTTGTTCTTTGTGGAGGACTCGTCGTGGGCTAGCTGTGGTGGTTCGCGGCGACGAGTTGCGTGCGGAGCTACCCAAGGTAGGCAATTAGACGCGCGCGACTTCGCCAGCGGGAGGTGTTTGCCAAAGGCGTTTCGCAAGGGAGGCAAAGAGGCACCTTTCACCAGCCCAAGTTGGTTCGGCACCTAGATTCGGAGCGCAGGTTAGAGGGACATCAGGAAGGAAGCGGTAAGAAATCTTGGAGTCGGGGAGCGGGTTGAGATGTAGGTAGGAAGTTGGGAGGGAGCGGCGGACGCTAGTGTTGACAGCTGGAACGGCATGGAAACGGGATTGTGTACAGTACCTGAAATAGAAGGAACCGGGCAGGTCGAGGCGCGCTATAGGTAGAAGGAACAACTGACGACGTCAGCGCGACCGAGCCAGGCGCGACACCAGCAAGCGTCAACCGAGCGGCGAAGGCAATGGAAGGAGCAGCTGGCGCACCCGACAGTTTCAGGCTCTCGACGCGCTTCTCTTCCGGGCCAGTTTTAAAGAATGTGCTAGACCTCTTCTCTCCCTCTCGATTTTTCTGGGTCTTTAATATTTTTCGTTCTACCCCCTTCTGTTAAAAGCTTTGCGCAAGCATAAGCGCAACCTGACGTTGGGACCCAAACGGCGCGCCAAGACGAGACCCCATGCATGTGCTGCGGACTTGGATATGCACGGACCGCTGCCCTTAACTGGCGTCCCGGATGTCCCCGTCGGGCTGCTGTCCGCGCGGTCGAACCTGGAATGATGTGGCGTCGAGATGATCCAGCATCATTCGAGATCTTTCTCTGCCGCAACGTGCGGGCCTGTGCGTATGCAGAGCGCACGCTTTTTTCAACCTCACGCCGGCAGTCCCGCACTAAAGGATAGCTACATATCTCGAAAGTCACACGCCGCATGAACCCAACTGCAACAATCACGCTCGAGGCTAAACCGCAGTGATACATACCTAGGCATGTACCGTACCGGTAGATACGGCAAGATTTTGATATCAGTCGACGGTGCTAATTGTCGGCCTTTCCGCCAGTGGGATCCGTAGGTATTTTACGGCGCTGCAAGCCTGAGGTGCAATTGCGAAACCTAACGTTTCGCCCTAGTATAATCGATGAAATGGTCTTGACGTGGACCCCTCCTCTTTACAAAAGTGCACCTCGCAGAGGTTTGGATCGGCATCTTCCTTTCTATTCGTGTCTAAATTTAGAACACTAAGATACCTAAATTCTCTGACTTGCATTTACTATGTACCTAGGTAGTAACGTTACCTATGTGTTGTCTCAATAGTGACGCAGCTTCGGCTGGTACTGTTGGATTCGGATATCAGCTGAAATTCCTTCGTTTCGATTGGACGAATTATTCCACCTAGTGAGCGTAATATTGGCAACTAAGGATATGCGCTAGACTTTCATTACCGAGACTATTACTTCAGAGATTTTAGCTTTTATGGAAGTGAGTTCTAATCCTTTGATCTTCAAACTCTATGGGCGTTTTAAATATTTGCATTTGTGAGCTCTCCATGTAAGTGAGCCTTCGTCGTGTGCGTACCTAGGTACAGTGGACGTCACTAAATCCGGCTAGCGCGAGTCCCTAGGCTTCTGCCCGCGCTGGCCCGAGCTCTGCGGATCTTCTCCACCCAACCACCGGGCACAAACATCAACTTACCTACCGCCAAACCGTCACCAATTCCGCGCGTGCATAGCATTCTTCTATAGCCGCATACATTCCCTCTTCGCAGACTTACTTCGCGTCCGAGAGCTGGTTTTATTCCGCTCGAGCCTCAATTACCTTGGCGTCCCCTTGCCCGAGCCTTCTGCCCGCAAATTTCCGCGCGCAAAACAATGTCGGGCTCTGAGGCGTCCGCCGATCGCAGCTCCCCGACTGGGGCCTTAGCCCCAGACGCGATGATCGAGGGCGCGCTGCGCGGCGCTGTTGCGAAGCTATTCGCCGAGTCGCGCTTCGAGGACTTGACGGTCAAGCGCGTGCGACGCACTGTAGAGGAAGAGTTACAGCTGGGGACGGACTTCCTTAAGACGGAC